AAACCCGTGTCATCAAAATTAGCATCTAAAATTTGTTTGAACAATAATTCATTATTTTTTAATAACTTGATGTAATATAGATTTGAATCTTCATTCCAGATATATTTTGAGGGAAGAGGATATAATTCCTCATTTGTGTATTTTTAATATCTTTATAGTTTGCCTTTAAATATAGTCCTATGGGACAGTGATCCAATAAGTATGTAATTTCATGAATTTTGAAATATTGAATTTCTTTTTAACAGCCCTTTGTACATATACAGTAGTCTACTGTATTTGAATATGTTTGGTGGTGGTATGTGTAATTTCCAATTAAATCACCCACTGTTCCGCCATTGGCTATTATTGAATTATTGTGAAGACACAACTAATTAATTGTTTACCGAACTTGTGTTGACTTTTATCTTGTTGATATTGTTTTTTAAATGACTCTGATTTGTAACTGTCTGGAACAGGGACATGGACATTATCATCAAATGCAACGTAATCTGTTAAATTTCCTGTTCTACTGTTAAAATCCCCAGTAATTATTACCTCTTGAGATAACTTCGTAATTTCTTTTTCTAGAATTTCAAAATACCCATTTTCAATGGTGATTTAAAATGGTGTAATAGTTTTGAACAAAATTGCAATCCCACATGAATCTCTCATAGTCTTACTTGATTTATTTTTCTAACTGAAGTAAAATTATTATAACTATCTACATCTAAAGTATCACTACTGCTAACACCTAACCAAGTCTTTTGCAAACATAAAATATCAAATTTCTCCAAAATGGAGATAAAGTCAGCCTCGTCACACTCAGCACCTAGATCATGAACGTTCCAACTACCAATTGTAAAATTGGTATTTTCATTTGATGAGAGTTTCCAGTATTCATTCCTTTCTATCTATACATTAAACAACCCTAGTAATACAGAGGCTGTAGCCTAGACATCTGCATACATAAAATGCCCTGAGAATTGGTAAATGATATTTTAAATGTAGAAATTAATAATAGAGTAGTATAATAAATATATAGAAGGATATATTTGGCTGTATAAAAAATAAGTATTTTCACTAATAAAATGGTCTTGGGTTATAATCATGGTTTTGATGATACTGGCGTGAATGGAAGATCTGATAGTTGTTGTAGTCTTGATGTGATTGTTGCAATTTCGTTGTTGTTTTCTCTGTTGATAAGGGGAATGTCCATTGTCATGATATCCATTACGCTTGTTCTGATGATTATTATTATTGGTGTATTCATAACAACTTTCATGTGTCTGTTGGTGATAGACTTGATGATGATTAATATATTCTTCAAATCTGCGATTTGAGGGATGCGTGGTATACTCGCGTCTCATCTGAATTATGTTGACTGCATATGCTGAATTACTATTTAGACTACATCTTGTTCGCTTTATACCTGCAACAAGTAGGCTAGTACCACTGTGGTTTATGTGGATTCAATTCGTAGAGTATAGATCACGTGTGGTACATATATTCAATTTTCATATTTATTGCATGTTTCTTTTATCTTTTAGTTTGCATCGACTATGATCTTGTTAATGCCATCATTACTTTTAAAGCATGGCAACAAACTTGATATAGTAAATCGGGCTTTGTTAAATTTCCTTTTCATATTTGTAATTCAATCCTCAATTTTGTGATTAATTACATCGGCACTCATATAGTTGGCAATGTCATTGGTTCCAATATGTATTAGTTTACATTTTTCTGGTTTGCCACCTTAGATATGTATAACGATGCTTCATCAATAGATGCTCCACGAATCTTCTTGATATTCTGGTCTTTGAACACGAATTGAGGGTTTATAAACCTAGTCATGGAATCCCCTATGAGTAAAACATCAATACCTGATAGGTCATTCAAATTTCCCGTATTTGGAGATTCAGTAACAGATGGTACAATGTTGTTCGATACTATGGTGTTATGTACATTATCATTAACTGACTTATTCATGGTAGATATTTCTGAATTTTTGTCATTAAGGTCACTCAGGCAAGAGAAACGGTTTGATGTTTCCACTGGTGGAGCTTGTAGTTTTCTTAGATCTTGTTTT